TTTTCTGATCACAGATGTCTAAAAATTTTAACAGTAACTTCAAAGTACAAAATCATGGCAATAAAAGCAAAAAAGCAAATATTAAGTGGTACTGATTTATTTTCAGATTTATGAGACAAAATGTGCCCAAGAAAACTTTAATTATTTTTCCATGAACGAATTAAGTGACTAATTAAATTAAATTATGGAAGAGAGAAGGTATGTATGCATGTAACTTAGGTGTACACCTTCAGATTTGGAACTGTTTACAGCTCTGTTGCTACTTCTTTTTAAAATTTTTAATATTTAAGAGATATACAACTTCTGAGGAGTCACTTCTGTATATTTCAATCTTCTGTTACTTAGAAGAATGCTATATGCTGTCATTGAAGTACACATAAGACAGTATTATTTATTGAAACAGCGATAATCATTGATGGAATTGAAAATCATAAAAATCTTTCATCCCAGTTCAGCTGCCTCAATTCATCTATGAGGAAACTGAAAATTAGAAAGATGAATTGACTTGCCTAAGTTTGTATTAGAAAGTTAGCAAAGTCACAACTTTGCCTTAAATATAGATAACTCCATTTTATGACCTAATTTTTTTTACAAATATCACCTTGTGAAATTCTTGTTGAAAATATGAACACATGCTTTTCTCCTGAAAACAATGCTGGACATGACAACATGCCCTATGACCAGTTTACCCAAGCCTCTCTGAGCTATACTATGCTTGTTCAAGAATGATTTCTTCATCTTTAAGGTGGAAATCCCTTTTGTACAGAAAGGAAAAGACATATATGTTCCCTTCTTTATTTTCTTAGGATTTGTATTATGTATTTGTATTAGCAGGACTCCTTTATTTTGCATCTATTCCTTTAAACACAATGATTGAAGAGTATGGCTTCCTTTCCCCTTTTTGGCCGTACTTACTCTTGTATTTTTGTTTCCCTCTCTCTAGGCTATCAGGGACTTCATGGGCTTTCTTTAAGCCCTTGTTTATAACTATTTTCCTTTCTGTCAATTACATCAAGAATGATTTTTAAAGAAAGTTGGCTAAACTGACAGAGAAATGAATTTAATACCTTGTCCCCACATTATTCCAATATCCATTTACAAGATATGTATTGAATTAAAAAATGGGTATAATTCCAAAGAAGCTCCTTCTATATATTGTAATTAAAAATATATCACAAATAGAAAGATTCTGGCTTTTCAGTTGCAGAATTATTTTCAATGGACAGGTTTATCATAAATCGCCTATAAAATACTAGCTATTTCTTTAGTTCCAATAATGCTTGGCACTTAACATCCCAACTGAGGTCCTGGTTAGGATGAACAACACTCTAGTCGGAATTCAACACTCTTGTATTGTTCTAGGGTAGAGATTTCTTTGCAGGGGAGCTGGAATGCTCCAGTAAGACTCTTTAAAAGTAGTAAATGACCTGGTCTGTTTGCTTGAGGCCAAAGACTGTTTCCAGTTGATAAGTTTGATTGCTGCTCTTTTAGTCAATGCAAAAGCCCTGAAGGGGAATTGCTATTGTCTCTTTTTTAGACCCTAAGTCTGTTCTGCAAAGCTTTGAGAAGACCAAACAAATTAAAAGACTTGTGGAGTGATTTTAAAGTGAAAGCAAAATGGTCTAGGGTAATGTAAATAATGCATTACGTAACCAGGGGGAAAAATGATGAACTCAATCAAGCTGTATGAAAAATATAAAAGTATTCCTCAGAAGCAATCAACTTGAGCTAAATATATGAAAATATAGATGACAATTTTTACAGCACATTAAATTGTTTTATTGCTCTGACTCTAAAATTTTGTAATGACATTCTTATTTTTCATAAATAAAGATAAAAAATACCTATTTTTGCTCAGTTGAAATGAACAATCCTTTTAAACTTGTCATGCAGAATTTGATCATTTTATACTAGGAATGATGTTACTGCAACATGGCATTCCAAGTCATCTGCAATTATGTGAATTATTCCAGTGGCATTTAAGATAGAAACAGCTATTTGTAAGACTGATGAATAACAAGTAAACAGTTGTTTTCTCATTACTTTAAATTACAAGTTTTTAAATATTCAGAACTATGTTTATCAAATAAAGCAGAGAAATCAAGGTTATAGTAACGTTTTAAAACTCACCTAAACAGGCTATGAGTTTTTAAATATAAAATTATTTCAACTTTTATAGATACCTGTTAGAATAAATATCATAAAGTATACTTTTTCAAACACGTTTGTTTTACTAAGCTGTTCATTTTTAGAAATCTGAGGCAAGAATGGCAGTAATATTAGCCTATTTCCCACATATTCTATAAAAAGGTTTCCAATTTAGAGATTTCCTTTTCTCTCCAAGACATTTTATCATACAAAAAGTAACAAGTATGTCTTCACAAAATTAACTGAGTGGTATGTAGATACATTCTGGAAAGAAATGGAATTTGAAGGACTGGGGAGACATTATTTGAGTTCTTAATGGAAACAAAGAAAGGAAATGGAAAGAGGAACTGGAGTTGACTTTCTGGAGTAATTGATGGGAGAAGGAAACTGTATGAATGTAACAGAGAAAGAATGCAACCAAATTGTTCTTTATCTCTGAATGAAGGAGAGGGTAATGAATGAAAGCACAGATATAAACAACAGCTGAAAAGTTGGCTAAGATGAAAGCATATTGGAGCTTGAGTATCAAAAAGGCTGTAATGAGAAAAAAGATCTTTTATTTAAGTAATTGCTTCCATGGGAAGCAACTGCCTTCACAAGAATGTTGCAGCTTGAAGAGGGAGGTGGTGATTATCAGGTTTCATGAGTCACGTACATTTTTGTTATCTTTGTCAAATAAATAGATTAATATACTTGTGTTTTATTGGTGATAATATTTTGAAAATGACTAATATGCTTTTATTTGTTGCCTTTTTAAGCACAGAATATACACACGAATTTGCTAAGGATATTTATATGACTGTATGGAAATTAGCATTGGCTTCAAAAGGAAATGAAAGGTAAGTCTAAGATAACACTCTTCTGGTATGTAAAATGGGCTTACAGAGCAGGATATTAGCATTTAGTATTTAGTAAATAGTTCATTTTTTCATCTTCCAGATTGTTTTTCTCCATTCAAGTAAATCAAGGTTCGAAACAGGAGGGCTTATTTCATAGTGTTCCTGCATCCTGGAGAAAAATCTCTTACATCTATGACAGTTCTTCATATGTTACATCAAAGATGTATAAGAAATAGGAGATCTGAAAGAAAAACTCTCATATTTTGGGAGCACAGAGGATCATGGGAAGGAGGGCAAAGCAATCAATGGGAAAGATGTTCCTCTTGAGATTTGACCAACTGATGTGGAAGTGCTTTAGTAAGTGAGGTTATCACTGGGGGTAGACTAGGGCTCTGTGGCTTACACTGGGCTCTGCAGAGAGGCTGCTGTGCTGGCTATTCCATGCTAATTTGAGTTTGGGTCATAGCAAAGTCCATCTGATGGTGAAACATGTTAAGACAAAGGGAAGTCTCTGAGGTTTTATATCTGCCTTTACTTCTGTATGATGGCTGGATCCAGATATTTCTGGGAATCTGCACAGGGAGTTTGCCTTAGGAAAGCTAGAAATGTGTGTGCTGTCATGTCTCTGCAGAGTGGACTGCCAAAGCCATTCCAAAAGGGTATCCAGACCCCACAGAGGCACATAGCATTCACAGGAGCAAGGGATGGCCAGTCAGCAAGGGAGCAGAGAGAACCATGTGCTAATGTTCCAGGCAAGAGGGATTCAGAGAACAAGTAGTTTTAGTGTGGTTAAAACAGCATCCCAGATGACAGAATTCTTGGTGCCTAAAATCGTTCCACATTACTTCTTCTAAATATGCAGGCATATTCTTAAATGAAGAAGCAGCAGTCATAAAAAGTTGCCAGACTGATCAATTTTACCCAAGAGGAACACAAATTCATGTGTGAAAGATAGAACAAGACTGAATTTTAAACCAGATGTTGTGTGTATGTTGGAACGTGTGTTCATGAAAAAGCTTCGTGTAGCTCAGTAACAGTTACAATTTCTATATATAAAACTTGTAATATGAGATAAAATTTGTGATTCTGCTACACGTGCATAATGGTTTTCAAGATATGAGTGGAGAGGGCACTAACTGAGTGAGTATAATAGATAATCCCAGATCTAACACATAGTTAGGAAGTAAGTTCTAGATCTTTAAGTCGGCAATGGGAAGGGTAGACTTTACAATATAGGAAGAGAATCCTCAAATGTTAAGTGATGTATATGGTTATAATATCATAAATTTTCTTTGACAACAAATCATAATTTATAGATCTTTGAGGTTATTTTTTCCAGATTTTGACTTACATTATTTTCAAATACATTTTCTTCTTCTCTTACATTCCTTTCACACTTTTATCCCCATGATCTGATACTCTGTTGTCTATTGCTAAACTATATTTAATATCTGTTACACAATATATGCCATATCCTAAGGTGTTTTGCCAGGCTTTTCAACTGTGTTGTGTTTCTCAAAGTGTCTTGGTAAAAAGACAGGTTCCTTGGTGAACCCCAGATGTAATGAATTATACTAACAGAGGAAGGGGTCAGATATCTGTTTTAGTATTTCATATTTATTATTATTTTTATAAATAAATACCCCTTGTGATTCTTATCATTAGATAAATTTGGGACATTCTCAACTAAAGGAAAACTGCAAGATGTTTTCTTCTAGGAGGTCCATAGTGTCTTGTGTTATGTTGAAGTCTTTAATCCATTTTGACTTTATTCATGTGTATGGTGTGAGGGAGTGTTTTAACTTCATTGATTTACATGTGGCTGTCCAACTTAACCGACACTAGTTGCAGAAGAGGCTATCTTTCCCCCATTGTATATTCTTGCCTCTTTTGTGAAGATTAATTGACTGTAGGTATGTGGGTTTATTTCTGGGCTCTCTATTCTGATCCATTGATCTGTATGTCTGTTTTTGTGCCAACAAAATGATTGATTATTGCAGCTCAAAACATTCTCTGACATAAATCTTCCCAATGTTCTCCTAGGGCACTCTACCAAGGCAACAGATATAAAAGCAAAAACAAACAAATGGGACTGAATTAAATTTAGAAGTTTTTGCACAGCAAAGGAAACTATAAACAATAGAAAAAGACAACCCCTACCTACAAATGGGGGAAATATTTGCAACTGATGCAACTGACAAGGGCTTAATTTCTGGAATATACAAACAGCTCATACAACTCAATAACAAAAAAATAAACAACCCAATCAAAAAATAGGCAGAAGACAAGCATTTCTCCAATGGCTACCAGACACATGACAAAATGCTCAATATCACTAACTATTTGAGAAATGCAAATCAAAACTAAAACAAAGTATCACTTCACACTGGTCAGAATGGCCATTATTAAAAAGTCTACAAACAATAAATGCTGGAGAGGGTGTGGAGAAAAGGGAACCCTCCTACACTGTTGGTGGGAATGTAGTTTGGTGCAGCCATTATGGAAAACAGAATGAAGATTCCTCAAAAAACTAAATAATAGACTTACCATATTATCAGTCCCATTCCTGGAGGGAATTTTACTTTGAAAAGAGACATGCGCCCCCAATGTTCATAGCAGCACTATTTACAATAGCCAAGGCAGGGGAGCAACCTAAACATCCACTGACAGATGACTGGATAAAGAAAATGTGGTACATATATACCATGGAATATTACTCAGCCACAAAAAAGAATGAAACAATGCCATTTGCAGCAACACATATGAACCTGGAGATCGTCGTTCTAAGTGAAATAAGCCAGAAAGAGAAAGGAAAATTCCATATGATATGACTTATACGTGGAATCTAAAAAAAATAAGACAAATGAACTGATTTACAAAACAGAAACAGACTCACAGACATAGAAAACAAACTTGTGGTTACCAGGGGAAAAAGTGAGCAGATAAACTAGGAGTTCGAAATTTGCTGATACTACTCTTTATAAAATAGATAAACCACAAGGTCCTACCATATAGCACAGGGAACTGTATTCAATACCTTGTAATAGCCTAAAATGAAAAAGAATATATATAAAACTTAATCACTAAGCTGTACACCAGAAATTAACACAACATTGTAAACTGACTATACTTCAATAAAAATGAATAAATAAAGTTTAAAAAAGAAAACTGTGAGAGAAATATATCAATTAATTTCTTCCTAAGCATCCCTCTGATCAATGTCAGCACTTTTAACATGAAAGCTTTTAAAACAATTGTTAATTTATCTGGATAAAGAGAGGAGTGATATTAGCTGCTTACATTCAGTAAGGCCCCCTCATAGAGTGCATGGGACTGGTGATGCGTGGTAGTTACTGGCTTTAGACTAAGCTTGATGGCTTGGGAGCCAAACTGTTGTCAATTTAGAGGTTGAAAAATGTTGACAGTCAGCTGCTGAGAAAAATTCCAAAGTGCCTTGAAAAGTATCAGGTATCCTTTTAGTGAGGCCAGTCTGTGTTAATCTTCATGTCCCTTGCCCTTTCGTGAGAAATATGTGTGATGTCTGTAAGCACTGATTCATCCTGCTGCTTTTAGGCTCATGCACTGATCTCATAAACATCATAAATATGCTTAGGGAGCTGGAGGCATATTTCAGAGAATTGCTATATAATATATAAATCTACCCTGAACTTGATTATGTAATGTCTTTTGGAATACAGGCACTGAGACTTGGAGGTGAAGTTATCTTACAAAAGGACCTCATTGCATCTGTAACCAAACTACTTTAGATGGAATCCAATGATTTATATTTTATTCTGAAATTCACTTTAAGGAAAAGCATCCATTACCAGGCCTCCAGTAAGTTTCTCAACGCTTTTTAACTTTACCACATAATCTTTTTGTTTTTAGTTAATATTCTAAGCATTCACCATGCCATTTAAGTTAATGAAGATTGAATAAAATAATTAACATTTTACCCTAGTTTACATGGACTAAATTTTCTACTCTGATTATGCTCACTCCTGGAAGAATGGAGAAACTACAGCAGTAGCAGAGGAGAAGAGTGTACAGCTCCATGCTGTTTATACACTGGTACCCTATCTAAGGGAGATCATAAATTCTTTTCTTATATGCAAGCCTTTATGACAGGTAAAACTATGTTTCTACTACTTAAGAAATTTCAACTTTCAGAAAAAGTTTAGAAGCCAGAATATCATGTTTTGGACTCTCTATTTAAATTGGAAGTTTAAGGAAGAATGTTCTTTTATGTCATAGATCATTTTATGTTTTGTGATTATGTTGTCTACTCTTTAGTTTATATAATAATATAAATAAGATAATACTGAATCATTCACAAAAGAATATAACTAACACTTGATATAGTGCTTACTCTGTACAGACAGCATTTTCTCTATATTCCTTAACACTATAGTTTCACAAAAAAGTTGTGCCATTATTACCACTGTCTCAAAACATCTGTGATATCTATTCTATGCCATCACCAAAAACACAATATTGCAAACTGGGGAATTAATCAGATTGCCACTGTCTTCTTCACTGTACCATCTAAAGATGCCTTGAGCCCACCATCTAAAATTCTTGACTCGCTGCCCTGTGAACTCAGAAACTGGGTTTATAGTCTTCTCTAATCATTCATATTGGCTCTTCTTTTTATTTCCCTAGTGATCTCCTTCATTAAATACCTGATTGTTTGCAATGTCTAGAAAATATCCTTTACTACCAAGCTTCATCAGATGGTTCAAGTAGCTCCTCACAATAGAAATCTGAAAAGCTACACCAATACACTTTCCAAATTGTTTAGTGGGAAACTTGGTTTCCCTTGAATGAAAGGAGGTCCAAGGTGGCAATTTTCTCCGTCAGTTCTATTGAGACAGGAAGCGGGCAGGGCACAGCCATTCAAGGAGTGCTACAGCAATTAACATCAAAATGGTGAAAGATTCAACCAGTAAGCCTTGAGGCTCAAGATGGTGGGAGATTTAACTTCTAGCAGAACTTGAGCTTCATTATACACTCTTTGTAATATATTAGCATGGTGAGTAACGTGCCCACAGGCACCATGGCAGTCTGAAAGCTAGCCACAAAAGATCAGAGTGGGAAATGGCCAACTTCCTGGGAATCCCAGCCCCCTCCCCAGGCTACTTAGACAGGTTTTTCCACTTATTAGCATATGAAGCCACTGAGCCCATAAAAACTGGCAACACGTGCCTCGCAGCTACAGGCCTCTCTCTCTCCCTCTTCGGAGAAGGCCTACACTCTGTCTATGGAGTGTGTACCTACTTTTAATCTGAGCACCTAACCCCTACACCTCATGGGCTTTCTCTTTCCTTTCTCTCAATAAATCTCTCTCAATAAATCTACCTTTACTCAAGTGTGGCTCGCTCTTGAATTCTTTCCTGAGTGAAGCCAAGGACTCACACTTGGCGGGGCAATCCCAGGGGCTCAACTAAAGCCTGGGACATGGCCCTCCTCATGCTCCACATCTGTTTTTCCTGAGTCACTATTATAAGAAAAGCCCTCCCTTTAAGCTTAGCAACCCTATCAGTCTGTGCATGGATCACACAATGATCTTAATGTTAGTAATGGTTTGAGTATCAAGTTACATCCATTTGTTTAGACATGTTTTTTATACATAATATGTATTCACCAGTTTTAGAACAGTAAATAAAAAATTACAGTTTTAAATTGTTTATAAGAAGAAAAGTATCTTTCCAATGCTCATAGCAACAATGCTTCTTGTTTTAAGTAAAAAATAATTAAGGTGCATCTCATATTTAGTAATCTTCCTTGGGTAAAGAAAAGTATTTAATGTTATACAACAATTTCAGGCATTAAAAAAAAGAAATACCTTTCAAGTCTTATTTTGATGTAAATATCTCAGAAACTAATTCCTCACACAAAATAATTATTGTATGAGCATACTTTTGGAAGGATACACCTAGATTTGCCCCTTTAAAACTACTGAATATCTTCATATTGTTTATTCAGATGTGAAGCATTACTTGTCTAACTAATGATGTATGTATAAAACTTGAGAAGTCCTAACCCACTAACTCTGTACATGATTATCTTTATCCCCATCCTCATTCCTTCTAGTAATTAAATCTAATCTTAACCTTTTTCTCCCCAAACTATGTATTACTTATTGGCTGCTCTTCAAAAATTTTTCTATACCTGCACAATTATACAGACTTATCAAAGTTTGAAGTTTCTAATCTGGAGGAATATTTTCATTTACCTCAGAAGAGTTCTGAGTTGATATATTCTATGTTCTATGAATGTGTTTAATGAATACACTGATGTAACAAGAGTGATTATGTCAGAACACCTTAGTCCTATCTCAAGTTTTTTACTGATCAAATAATACATTCTCTCTGTATCTCCAATACTGCAGCCACACAAACAACCTTATAGCACTATATTTTCTAATTGAAAGGTAAAAGAGTTGGGTGATTTTAATTCAGTAACTTATGATTATACCTGTGGATGTTTAAAAATCATTCCTATGCTCATACTTAATAATTGGGTCCTGTAATAGTAAATCTTTCCATAGGAGAGTGACAAAGGATCAAGGTAGCAGGTGTGAGCTTCTTTCAACTTGGATTTGATTGCTACTGAAGCTACTTAAGAATCAAGAAACTGAATTTTATATCTGTGTGCCTTCTGTATATAATGAAGCTAATTATTCTAAAAATAATTGAGCTGACATTTCTGTGGTAATACCATCAAACCTGATTGTCATAATCTTTGAAAAGAGAAGGTTGAAGTTTAAATGATTATTTCTTATTTATAGTACAATAATTTAGCAGTGACTGGAAATTACTTTGTAGGATTAGAATAGATGTTAATCAAAATCCAAACAAGATGTGAGAAAATAATTGGAGTTTAGGGTACAGGTTTAATTAAGGGGTGCTTTAGAACTTGCATAACCCATTTATTTATGTAGAAAATACACATAATAACCTTTCAGAAATTTTGATAGCAAATGCCTGACATTCAGAAAACATTGTGGGTATTCCAGACACATTCAACAATCACATAACAAAAACAAAGGTATTAAATTTATTTCTTTGCAAAAGTGGAACATGATAGGAGCTAGTATATGCCTGAAGCTAATTATGCAAGTTAAATATGTACAAAGCACAGACTGAAAAGCAGTTTTTCTCAAAGAGTCATCAGTAGATATCTCAATTGTGTTAGCTGGGGCATATTTAAAAGGCCAATTTGAGTTTCATCAGAATACTTATGATTTTATGAGTGGAGTCTGGGATCTGGATCTAATTTTTTCAAGGACCCCAGAAGATTCTCATGGACACTAACAATTAAGAATCACAGATGTAAGAGGTAGCAAAAATTTGAAGTTATCCCTATGAGTCCAAGTTATGTCTGTAACAGAGTAGGTATTCAAACTTTGGTAAATTTCTCACTCATAAGTAAAATGGAAACTTACTAATATTAATTTTTATCTATCTTAGAGGGATTTCTGAAGAACAGAGAAAATTCATTTAAAAATTTTGCCTGACACACAATAGTATTAATTTTATGAACAGTTCTCTTAAGATTGAAGATGGGATATAGTAAAAATATTTAACAAAGAAAAAGAAAATATTTGTGATATGAGTAACTTCTTCAAAAATCTGGTGTTTGGTGTCATTGCTACTATAACCTTGGAAGTTTTGTTGGTTAAACATTTTCTAACATCTCTACAACATTTTTTCACTGTCACAATTCCAATAACACCTTAATGATTTCGATGAGCCCAGAAATTCTAATTATCCTATATATATGCTCCTCAATAATAAATTATTGATTTGATCATTTTATTGGCCTTTTGCCTGACATCCAGTTTCTAGGCCAGAGCATTTTAACTCACAGTAAGAAATTACTCATTCTCTGGAGCAGTTTTTTTTTTTTTAATTCTGTGTATATAATTTTTAAAAGCAAATGTAGATATTATATCAAAAAGCAAGCATATATATTTGAATGAAGTATTATTCAGCACATAAAGATAAATTACTAAAGTACAAGTCAAGGAGCAAAACTGGACTGAAATCCTAGACAGTAGTTGGAGTATAAGTGGTCAAATTCATATTTTAATTATTATTGATGCAAAGCATTAAAGAATAATACATTTAAGGCATTCTAAAAATTTGCCTATACATTTAACAAGAGCAAATAATTTAACTGATATTAGTATACATCCAACAATAGGGGAAAGCATGAAATAATTTTAATTGAAATTATCATTTACTTACTGTTATAGCAAAACTTCTGTTATTCTTAAGCCATTGGTTGTGACAGTTGTTTATATTCATTTCTAAATTTATTAATTTAATAACACATCTTTGCAGTCATTTTCTGAGTGCTTTAAATATATTAACTCATTTGGTTCTCATTAAAGTACTTAAATAACAAGAATAATCCCAACACTTATGATCTGTGTTCTGAACTGTGATTTGTCCTTTCAGTTAAGGAAACTACTCATTAGATATGAAACTTGCCTCCTTGATAAAATAAACAATGATATTAATTTCTGTCCTTCAGGAATGATGTTATCACTATTGCTTACCACATTCTTTTTCTACTGTTACTAATATGCGTACATTGATTTCATCAGAGATGCAAACTAATTTTGGAAATAATAACAACTTTTTGCATAGGGGGTATGTGAGTCTTCTGTGACAACATAAAAGATATTAATAGTTTGAATCTTACTTGAACTCAGATACACACACACGTGTGCACACACACACACTTTAACTTATATATTAAAACAAACCAATAAACTCTGTATTTTTTATATTATAGACAAGAAACTAAGACTTAGAGATATTAAATAACATATTAAGTGACAGAACTATACTTCTAAGTCAAGAATTGTTGATTTAAGTCCTATTTTTCATCTATTACAACACATTTGAAATTTCAATATATTGAAAAAAGACTGACAATTTTAATTTAATTAGTAATATATAAAAAGCGAAAAATTGAATAAATCCAAACATTTGAAAATTAAGAAACATAGCTTTGGATAATACATGCATCTAAGAATAAAACTCAAGGAAATCTTTAAAAATCCAAAGGTTAACAAAACTGCAATGTGTTATGAATGTTAACAAAAATACAACTGTTGGGAGATCTCCAGAAAACTTCCCCACAAAGACAGAAGAGGACTAAAACAGTTCTAATATTGAATAAACATTAATCCAAAATGTGATGCTTATTTCAGGTGATTCACTAAAGATATTGCAGAGACAAAGAAATATCATCCCTTTGTATAGCGAAGCAAATAAAACCCATTCTATACATATTCTCAAGTAAGTGGGCTTGATAACACTGTCACACATAGTTCATCTTAGATTCACCTGGTGACTAATGTGATCACCTTTGTTAGTTAATTGGTTTTATCCAAAGGAAAAATAAACCTTTCATATCTCTATGACAGGAAATTTGCAACTTGGAGCAAGGTGCCAATCAAAGTCAGGCCACAACACTCCCACAGACAGTGAGAGAAAAGGGCGCTATCTTCTTTAATGATCTGTGTCATTGATTTCTCCTGGTACATTTTTCATGTCACATACTGTTACATATATATGTATTTATATATAAAATGTAAAAATACATATAATGTAAAAAGCACATTATATATGGCAATAAACTTTATGGAAATGAATTTAATAACATATTAAACGAACAAATCTTATAAGAAATACAACTTAACAGAACTGACCCAGGATACAATATAAATTTTTTTCTAATCCTATGTCTATCAAAATATTGAATTCATTTTCAAAATCTTTAAACTTAAACAAAAGTCCACAACACCAATCTTGCATAATTTTCAAAAAGAGAGAAGGACAAATATTCTCCGACTGATTTTTTTTTTTTGGTAGAAATTTGAAGTGTTTATTTCTTTAACTTCAATAAAAATAGGCACAAAAATTTTAACACAGTACATGGTAATAGATTTTCATAATTTTTTATTGTGGGAATATTACCATCAGGTAATAAAAATTTAGTCTCTTTTTATTGAAGTAACATGTATTTTTAGTAAATATTTTAGATTAATCCAGAAAAATGAGATTATAGGGCCTAACAAAAAATATGGAATGCTTCACGAATTTGCATGTCATCCTTGTGCAGGGGCCATGCTAATCCTTTCTGTATCGTTCCAATTCTGGTATATGTGCTGCCAAGCGAGCACCCAACTGATTTTGTAAAGAAGAAAAACATATGGTCAGTTTAAACTGGATGCTGGAAAAGTATTTTTAAAAAGTCAACTACCAAAACTCTCAACATATTAGAAATAGAGAAGAGCTTCCTCAATAAAGGACAAATACAAAAAAACCCCCCAAAAAACCCTATGTATGAACATTGTGCTCCCTACCTGCCATCCTGTAGGAGGGAATTGAATGCAATTCCTGAAGACTCATTGACACTATATATTGTAAGCGGTGGGAAAACACTACGCTCTCACAGGCACTTATTTCTCTGCAAACCAAGTTTTTGCCTAAAGGTCTGCCAATACTGCTTGTCTATTCACTGTAAAAAAATAAAGTATTTCATTCTGCTGTTAGTAACAAAGGGTGTATATTTCTTACATTTTAGGTATAAAATAAAAAAACTGTGTGAACTTTTCAAGTATATTTGGAAATTCAATCTCTCTCTCTATGTAAATTAATTTTATCCACTAGGTTGGGTTAAGAATCTTGGAAAATGCACATATATTAGTAGTATTAAAATATCTAATAGAAGAAAACTTGAGATTCATTATATTAGCACTTGTCTCTGAGAGACTGAATAAACCAATGGACAATGGCTAGACTGCATATGAAAATAGAATTCAGGCACACAAAACTCTGTCCCATATTCTACAGCGCAGGAAGCCAAACCACAGCCTCTGCAGCACTGTAGCAACTGGCCCCAAATGGTCAGGACTTAATCATTAACTGCCCACTTTCCTAGCTTTTGTCCTGCTACTTAATTTATTTCCAACAGAACCAACCACAGAAAGTCGAATATGCACTAACCACTCACATAGGATGCCTCACTTCCAGCTTATCGCCTATCAGGATCAGGGTATACCTGAAGCCCTTCCCTTTTTCCACTATAAAGCTTTCCCATTCCTCTGCCTGTTTCTGAGTCTCTGGCAAACACAAGTGATGGTGGATTTCTGAGGGCAAACTTATTTCTGAGGGCAAACTCTGCATTGAATAGCCTTTGTTTGTTCTCATTTGGGTGGTCTTCATTTATTTCTATACCTCTCAATTGGAGAAAAATAGCCAACCCCATTCTAACCTGGTAAATAAGTTTCAGTGAACCATTTAATTTATTTTCTATTAAAATTAAACATATTAGAAATGATGGGAACAAAAACAATATAATCAAATCAGTCAATTGGACATGTTTATGAGATTAGTGCAGGATGAGTGGAATTCTTTACAATGATTTGTAGATTTACTCAAATTGGCAGAAAATTTATTTCAATATTAATTAATTGTTCATTCAATTACCTCAGCATTAATTTATTCAGATTGACAGAAAGCTAATTTCAGCATTTATTTCAGTCTTTATGATGTATGAAAATTCTAAAAATGGTTTCCAGAAATAAATTTTCAATAGTATGATGAGGTTTTAAATTTGTATGCATTACAAATAAAGAAATATTTGTTTCTTTTTTATACATGCAAGACACCCTCCACTGGATTCCAAAGTATTTTTAATTCTGATTATTATCTTGGTTTCTTTTCTGTCTTATTTAATATTCACATCAATCTTGTTGCCTTGGAGTCCTGTGACTTAGCAAATGCATAGAGACATCGCTTGGGGGAGTTGATGAACAACAATGAAAAAAATCCTCTGATGGGGAATCATCAACTAACAAGAAAAATGTAGGGAGGGGAGTTAAGTAAATTAAGTCCAACAGTTGTGGGGAAGAAATTCAGATTCAGGACAACGGTGCTATTCTACTGGCAAGAGAATATGATTTGCAGAACAAACCTGTATTGTGATATTTTCAGGTGATATCTGGCTTAGAGTAAAATATAAGACTGAAGCTATATCATCTCTTGGACACACTGCTGCGTACTCAAGTTTTCTGAGCATCCAGTTCTATATAAAATTAGTCCCATCTTCAGTTTCCAAAATGATTTTGAGAAGTTGCTGTGACTTCATGAATTTTTAGTCTGAATGGCATCTTTATTGCTCTCTCCCCAATTGTATGACTTGATTTGAGATATTCAACTTTGGAATTATACCATACCCCAAGTTTTCCAAGCCACCTTTTTAACTTTCAAACTATTGTCCTTTGACATTTGAACAAACTTTCCCCTCATGCTTAAAATGGTTTTCTTTATGTTTATTAAAGACTATAGTAGCATCTTTAAATTAACATGATATAACGTACTCTAGAAAATAACTTGTTTCATTTATTGGAAAGTAAAAAAAAATCCTCTCCTAAAGCTATGCTTTCAGTGTTATTTTATATGATTTTAAATGAGCAGATGCTTTTTCAAACTTAGCTTTTCTGAAGGATAGTCAAAATAAAGTGAATAAGAAACTTTTGGGGATGCAGTTTTCATGAATTAGTTCATTAAACAGAAAAAGGCCTTTGTGAAAAACAATCATAGTAAGCAAAATTTATGTCTCATAATGTGAGCCTGGCTTATCCTGAAGAGTGCAGATTTTCCCGAGGGCTCCTTTTAAATGAGAGGAAGTCAGCTAAATGAAAGCAAAACTTAGGAGAAAATGCAATGGTTAGAATTTTCATAATGAACTACAACTTATTAATTTCCTCTGGATTATGGTCAATAGGACTTGTCTGATAACTATTTGTATATAAAGATATCTCTGTGGCCATATGAGGATGATCATAAAAGAGCGTCACCGTAACAATCACATATGTTCCACCTATGGTGCCATCTTCTCCCATTTACAAAATCGTGCTTCAATCAAATCCTTTCCTTGTTGCTCTGGGAATGTTCTGGACCTTTTTTGGACCAAGTGGTCTGTAATTCTCCTCATACTAATGACAGCTTTTATGTTATTTTTTTTAACTCCTCAGTCTTGTTTGAGTAAATTACTATATAATGGTCAATGAAAATTAGTAGCTTTGGAGACTAATCCCACTGTAGGAGCTTATAGTTCTGCTGATGCCCGCTCTGAGGATATGTTTCTTTGGAGAGCTAAGCCCTTGGTCTACTTTATGTAGAAGCTGATGTTATCAGTGCCTCTGATGGTGGTGACAGCCTTTTTTAGTTTGTACTTCTTAATAAATGACCACCTTGGTCATTTCTGTATCTTCTTTTTCAAAGCACTTCTTAAATTTTGAAATTGAGTTTTCTGTCATTTTATTATTGCCTTGTAGGAATTCATGCTGTATTCTGGTTAGGAGCACCTTTTTAGTTACATTGTGGCAAATAGCTTCTTTCCTCTTTGCCTTGCTTTTTAATTCATTTCTGTCTTTTAAGAAGTTGTTTGTTTTATTGTAGTCAATTACCAATCTTTTTCTTAATGTTTATAAGTTTTTAAGTTTTAGTATTTTTCTGCTCTAAGTTTATGAAGATATTCTCTAATCTGAAAGATTTATGGGCTTATGTTTCACATTCAGACATACAACATCAACATCAAAATGATAATAATTCATATGTATGATATGAGGAAGCTGTCAGTTTCAAGTTTTTATACATGGCTATCTAATTGACCTAGCACCATTTAAAGTGAAGTTATCTTTCCTTGGCTTTACAATATTACCTTTGCATTACACAGAATGGTTTCTTTCTGAACTATACTGATCAATGGTCTCCTTGCCTATCTTTTAGGAAATAAAAGAGTTCTTCACTAGCGCCAGTTAATAATAACTCATTATGTCTAGTAGAGTTAGTATCCTTCTTTGTTCATCTTTAAATCTCTTTATTGTTCTTGATTCTTTGAGTTTTCATATACATTTTAGAAAAAACTTGTCAATTTACTGAAAAACAGAAAAAAATCCTATAGTTTTCACTGGGCTTACCTTGAATTTATTATAGATCAATTTAGAAAAATGCGTATTTTAAGCATTTTAAGTCCTCCAATTCAAGAAAATATATATATATCTCTCCATTTGCTAATATCCTTTTTGATTTTATTCAAAATACAGATTTCTTACACATATTTTTAGATTAATTCTTAGCTATATGACAGCTTTTAATTTTATTGTTACATTTTATTTATTTTTTAACTGGCTCCATTTAAATAAATACAATTGATTTTTGCATACTACAATTGTATATTGATTTTAATCTATTGATCTTACATCCAGGTACATTACTAAATTTACTTATTAAATTTGATAATTTATTTGTAGACATTTTTGACATGGCACATGTACAGTTAAGTCATCTGTGAATGATTAAAGCTGTATTTATTCTTAATTCTTATACTATTAATATTCATGTCTCATTTATTGGCTAAGACTTTCAATAAAATATTGATAGTGAAAATTAACAATCTTTTCTATATTCTGACTCAGAAAAAATGAGTTCAACATTTCAGACTAACTATAATGTTTATTAAAAATTTCTGTACATACTTTTTATTTGAATATATAATTTCTATAATAAAATTTCTAAGTATTTTAATCACAAGTGAATGTTGACTATGATCAATGCCTTATCTGTACTGCATAAGATACAATATCTGTATTGCCTAGTTGCCATGATTGTTTCTTTTCTCTTCTTATTTTGTTAATATATTTACTGATTATTTTAGGCTCTTTCAGTGAAGTGCACAAATCCTAGATCTGCAACTCAATGAAATATCCATACACATAACAAGCCTATATAACCAGTGTGCAGATTAAGAAGGATTGCACTAAACTTCTCTGCCCTCTAATGCCTCCTCCCAGTGACTAACTAAACTATTTGAACTTCTAACTGCCTGTATTAATTTTGTCCATTTTTAACGTTACATAAACTGAAGTTTATTTATGTATCTTTCGTATCTGCCTTTTTCATTCCAAATTATTTTCTGAGAATTCTTTCCATTCGTTCATGTAATTACAATTTGTACCATCGATTTCAGAAGTATTCTATGTGTGAATCTTTTCTACTATGGTGATCATTTAAGCAGTTTCCAGTCTGGGAATTATTATAAATAGTACTGTTACTATACACAGTCCTGGGTGGCATGACTAGTTGGCCTTGTCCTGCTATTTATAATTCTGATGATGAGAGTCTTATTGAATGGCAGTCCATGTCTTTCAGATGCAGAGTGGACAATGGGGTAGAATATTCAAAGGAAAATTCTCCAGAAGACATGATGATGCAGAAGTAAAGAGTATGTATTGTTTATGGGCAATTC